GTAAGAAGAAAGAAAGTAATTAGAAAAAGAATTAGATACTAGTCTCGTGCACCATTTTAGGGAGCTCTGGCGGTAGGATTGGATCGCTAGAGCCAGAAGAGGGAGAATTAGGGGCGCCGGAGTCAAAGCTCCTGCTCGTCGCGTGATTCGGGCTCAGAGTTGTCGAGTGATTATTATGATGATCGAGGGTATTGTTGGGTGATACGCGATTGTTGTTATGCCGATGATGGCTGTTGTAGGAGGATCCAGAGCCCGGCACATTGAGTAGAAGCGGCGAGGCAGGGCTGTTGATAGACGGCAGTCGTGAGCCACTCTTGGAGATCGTGTCGTTATCCTGGTCGTTATTGTGATGATGATGCCTGACACCACTACTACTAATACCACCAATGCCACCCTTACTGGCGTTTACGAAAAAGTTTGACGCGTCATCGTCAATGTACGTGAAGTCTGAGAGCGGTCGGGGCCCAGTGTGACTGCGTGAGCTCCGCATACTGTGTAAGCTGTGTAAACTATGGACAGAACGACGCTCCTCCAAGTCTTCCAGGGTCGATCTGAACGCTCGGATTACTCGAAGCTGAAAAAATAGGGAAAGGGCTTTCTAATAAGGAGGCGAGGAGGCAGAGGCCAGCGATAACACACAAGCTGCTCTAAATCTTGTTTTTTTTTCTTTCATTTAATTTCAAGTCGAACTTTACTCCATCTTTCTTATCAGTTTCACAGGTTTTATCAAATCACATACTCCCAGGGACTTTACTCTTTTATTTTTGTTTTAATATGTGCAGGCACGTTTATTGATAACTATTTTTTGTTACTAGTGGGGTCTGGGTTTATTAGCTCTCCCTTTTATTTTCATTGCGACTACTGACATAGCGGGAAATTGTGATAAGGATTTTTTTATTCTTTAGAATTTTACTTTGTGTCAATATTATGTTTGTTAGAGTAATTAAAAAATTTTTTAATTCAACAGAAAAAATAAAAAATTTTTTTAATTTATGTAAATTATTTTTATTAATTATAAAGCTTTAATGAAATTTATAAAATAATTTTTTTTTTTTTTCAATTTTTAAGTAAATAAAAAAATAATTATGTATGCGATTTTATCTTAAAATAATTAAAAATAAAATCATGTTGCTATAGATAAAAAAACATTTTTCATAAATTACACTCATTAATTATTCACTGTTAAAAAAAAATATAAAACATTTTTTAATTACTCCATTATGTATATATGTAGATGTTTATGTTTAAATCTACATCTAAAGGCAGATAAAATAATTTGCAAGCTACAACAATTGTCACTGTGGCACACACGCACGATACGTGGAACAAAATTTTACTGTTAATGATATAGTAAAATAAAAAAAAAAAAAAAAAAAAAAATTGAATAATCATTTGAAAAATATTCATAAAATAAAATTTTATTCCAAGTAGTTGGGTGGGATCATAAGTGCGGCCGAAATGAATCTTCAATAACTAATTTATTGATGACATATAATGTAGTATATATGTTATAAATTGCGTGCAGGAAAATAAGGATAGATTAAAAAATAAAACCCAAGAATAATCAACCTTGTCTCCCTGACGCAGTCTCTATTTATATAATGCTTTATTATTTCCTGGTTTGGTTAAATAATTAAAGATCGATCAATAATTAAATAAATTTTTTTTTCTACTTTTTTTTTTTTTTTTTAAATAGAAATAAAATCCAATAGAGACAGATTATTTTTTATTGCAAATAGATTAATATTATCATATTTCCCGAGTATATAATAATTTTTGCACGTGATGTCGTGCCGCGGGTGTGAATTATTAATGCACACCCGCACCTTGACAATTGGACTCATAATAATGATAATTTCCGTAGTGTTAGCTTTTATCTTTCCTCTCATCTGACACAATGCTGACTATTTATGACTTATTTATTTGTTTTATTGCATGTGAATAATTATTTGGTACAAGTGAATTCAATTACGCGTCGGATATTTATTTATGTAACAGTAACATGTTCTTTTTTTTAAAATTAGTAATTAATAATTATTTTATTTTATTGTTGTTAGTTTTATTAACGAGAAATGGTCCGCGACAGTCCTTATATGTTTGTATATTATATGAAAACCGATCAATGTCTCCGCCGCATCGACAGTCTGCATTGCAGCCCCGGAAAAGTTCACGTTAGAGAGTAAGATCGATAGAGTGATAGAGTCAGATAGTGAGAGAAAGAGAGGAAGACTATTACTGTTAAAATAATAATAATAAATAAATAAATAAATTTTAAAACAAAATTTAAATAAATTCAGCAAAGTAGAACTTTTTGAATATTATTATAATTATAATTATAATTAGTAAACTTATAATCCTTTGGCAACATTAACGGGTATAATATACTTAGTATTACATCCAAAAGAGCCTCACATTCTACAGAATGTAAAGTTGAGCCTGTGTTGCTCGTTACAAGTGACAGACTAGATTATTTAATTCAATTAAATTTAAACAGCAATAGAATTAGTGATAGTAATAGTAATAATAAATAGAGAGACAGAGAAACAGATACAAGATACAATAAATATCATTACGGAAATATGAGGTAATGTAATAATTCAAGAAATAGTAATAACATTTTCAGGTCTCGTGCTGAACAAGTATAGTAAACAAAATAAATATTTTAAAAAACCCATCATCAATGTCTACACGAAAGCCTCAGCCAAAGAAACTGGGTATGTATTATATTAATTGCTTCGGGGGTTTTTAGCGCAATGGGCTTACCTAGTTTAGCTGTGTATTTTTTTTTTTATAATGTAATAGTACAGTCAGACGCCCTTACAAGCACACTATTTAATCAGGACAGTATGCTTTTTGGAATGGTCAATATATGCCCGTTTAAATTATTCAAGAGATTCACAAAATGGCTCCAATTTAATTTTATAGAAAAAGATTGAAAAAATTTTTTTCAGTAGAAATTTTAATAGGCGCTCGGAGCAGAAAACTCGATAAAATAATTTCAATATTTTTTATAGGGTTTGTAAAATAACTATTTTGAAATTAATTTTTTTGCTGTGCAATTTTAAACTAAAAGTTTTTTTTTTTTAATTAATATTTTAATGGATAAAGATTGGAAAAAAAATTGAAATTTAATCTATCAGTTGTCAAATCTGATCATAAATAAAAAAAGAATGAACTGGTTGGTAGTTTGATTTATATCCAATTGACTTTTAAATTTATTATGCTTTCATAAATTTTTTCTTGCTATTGCAAGCTTGCTTGGAAAATTAAAAATTAATTTTTAATACTTTAAAAAACTTAAAAATTTTTAACAGGTGATTTTATCAAATCAAAGATCCATTTTATAATTTGAATTCGATTTAAATCAAAACAATAATGAAACGGAATTACATTGACCACTTTTGAAAAAATCATTGACTTGAATTTAAAAATTAGTTGTCATTTGTCTTTGTCATGTTAATAAAAAACAGTATATTAATATTAATAATAATAGTAATAAGTATAGAGCAATAAAATCAATTGGCGTAGACACACAAATATATATAATAATAATTAATAATAAATATAAATATCTTGCGAAAACGACCTAGGCTATTAACAGCAAATAACACACAAGCCTGAAAGACATTATGCAGCAGGCTTATTAATTAATTAATTAATTAATTAATTATTCAATTATTTATATGCATTTTAGGTAAGAAAACGATTGTATTGGCACAGGATACGGCTGATCGCGGGGTCATTCTTACTTACAGTAAACGGGGTGTCATTTGCTGGCTATTATTTTATTTATAATCGGGTTTTTGTTAATAAATTTTTTTTCTTACATTTTTGTACTTATCTTTACCGCGTTTTAGTTTAAAAAAAGAAAAAAAAGGTTGACACAGAAACGGCAAACAAAAAAAAAAACGCCAAAGAAAAGATGAAACTGAAAGATCAAACGTTAGTGGTTCAGTTGGAAAATATAAAAAAAAATAATAATAAAAGACACAACGAGCAAACAAAAAGTAAACGAATCAGCCAAACACACTTTGTGAGCGTGCGCACTCTTGTAAATTTATAAAATACTTATATGAACAGTAGAAAAGCCCTTGGGCTCAAACTATTGAATTTAAATTTGCTTCGTTTTATATTTGTTGAGAATTTAGAGAGAAAATTTAAGTAGAAAGATCGATAGCAAAGTGATAGTTGAAATATTGTTTTGTGTGTTTGTATTTTTTGTAATTTATCATGTTTTTTTTTTCTTTTTATCAATATAATTAATAATTATTAATAAATAATTAATCAAATCAAGGTTTTGATGCTTTTTGTTTTATGGCAGCGGGTTAATTGACAAAAACAGTCTAGTGTGATTTATTAATATAAAAAACACGCAGCACATTCATGTCAGACAACTAGTCTACTGAAGCGCGGGCGTGGGCGGTAGATTTCGCGCGTTTGTGGCGCCACTTTTATTATTCCCTGTATTTATGTAATTTATAAAACTAAAACTAGCGTTATTTTTTATCCACCGTATTTCCCACCCCCGTAACATAATATAACACACTAAAAATTCAATATCATGTTATTAAACATCATCAAAAATCATAAATCATCACATCTTGTTTTTTTATAAATTATATCAGTCTATCAATTATAATTATCAAATGGTCTCATTGTATCATATCATATCAGTTGTGTGAGAAATCGAGTAGTTGTTACACTTTCGTTAATTACGACACACGACATCGAGCAAGGCCAATCGAGCACGAACATACCTACCAACTATTTTTCATTTTTCTTCAACATTTCTGTTCCAATAATTTTTTTTTCTTTTTTTTTTAATTTAAATAAAAATTAATAATAAATAGTTGGTAAGTTTGCTGATGAAAAATCTGCCACGCGCAATTCACGTTAATCCAAAAACTTATTAGGGGATGCGATTGTTTCTACGTGGGCTACGTACTTGTTTGTACTCCGACAGGAATAGAGTGGCGGCGGCCGGTAAGACTGCCGCCTTGTTATACCTCGGTCTCCCGAATAGGTTCCGCTGGCTAATAAATCACAAATTATTATCAGTCTTCTTTTTTTTAACAATAAAAATATCAACTCTTTTTTTTTTTTTTTTTTTTTTTTTTTAATTATTTAATGCTTCAAATGCTCCGGGCTTTACCTAGTTTTCTTCCAAGTCGCATTTTCTTCATTAAATTTATTCCAACCAATATTATAAACAAAATAAAAATAAATTATAACAGCAAATAATTTTTAATATTTTAAAATCGGACGTAATTAATCAAATAATAATTTATTAAAAAAAAATTCTTTTTTTTCGTCCGAATTACGCATTTGTAAAAATTACTTATTATAATTATATTTATTTTTTCATTATAATAATAGCAGAAAATATAAATAGCACACACACTTACACACACGCGTGTACGTATGCACTAACGTAATTAAATTCTTTTCATTTTTTTTTATTTTAATTATGATTATAATTAGATTTTTTTTTTTTTTTTTTTTTATAAGCGCATACGTACATGTAAAATATCACAATTTTTTTTAACAGTTATTTTATCACAGCAACATCAAACTTTGCGTTAACGATGATAATTATATACATATATATATTTAGTTTTTAATTAAAAAAAATTGCTAATTAATTTTTGTGAATATTTCAGTCAGTATATGTATATATTTATCATTAATAATCTCACGGCGAAGCATAACTTGGCAGCCAAGTGATATTTTTTTATTGGCAAAGGAAATGAATTAAAAAAGAAAAAATGTAACTAAAAAAAAGTAAAATTAAAAATGTATTTTCTCTCCGGGCATTAAGCTTTGTTTCAGAATTTCATATTACTAATTAAAAACTACTATAAAGTAGTTTATTATCCAGAAAATACTCTTAATTATTAATAATAAATTAGAGATTTTAAATTGTAATTTACAACCAACCCCGAAGAGAAATTCATTAATGCTAACGTGTGGCTGCTGAAACTTTAACTATTTTTTTTTTATTTTCAGCACTACCAACGCGTTACGCATAAAAAATTAAATAAAAATAAAAGTTGTGATTTTAAGAAAAAGTGGCAAACTTAAATGTAGGCAAATACATAATTCAAGAAATAATAATAAGTTAAAACGATAAAACAATATGATAATGATAAATAAATCATAATCATAATCATAAGTAAAAATAATATATTATTAGACGGTCAAACAATGCGGAGAGTGGTTTTGAGGAACTAACCATATAGTAATCCTGAGAGGGGGATCTGCCTGTCACAGATACATTCTGCACCAGAGATCTATTGCTCGTCTGAAAGTAGGTTACACATTCAGTTTTTACATTACAATAGACTTTTAAAAATTGTTTTTAAGGCGATTTAACATTATTGTGTGTCTCCCTTATTTTACATCATAATAACCATTTCAAGTTTTTTTTACTTACTTATTATACTTGTACATAAATATATATTTGTTTTTTTTTTTTTAATTGTTATTGAGCAATTTTTTTTCATGATTTTATTTGAAAATTATTTATCTAGAAAAATATTTTCATTACAGTCTTTAATTAAAATTTAATTTTAATTAAATTATCTAAGTTAAATTTACCATCGCCAGGAATCGAACCCAGACTCTCTGCGTAACAATTATACTACTTTGTCCTGTTACCAATTCTTTTTTTTTTACACTAACTAATTATTAAAAAAATAATTAAAATTATTTGAAAAATTTTTTAGAAAGAAATTAACATTTTTTTTTACAATAAAAATTTAATTTTAAAAAATAATAAAGATAATTGCATATTTAAAAATTACCCTTTTAAATTCTAACAAAAGACCGTAATTAAAAAATTATTTACCAGTTTAATAAATAATTAAGTACATGAAATAAGATGCTGTAAAATAACAACAATATAAATGTATAAATATATAAATGTAAGATCAAACAATGAAGATTGTATAATAACTTGGCTTGGTGTAAAATATTGAGTATTAGTTTAAGTTGAGTGAAGAAAAAGAAGAGCCTGTGAAGTAAGTTTAATGGTAATGTTAATGTTGATATATTTAAGAGAATAGACAAGTTAACAAAGTATGTTTATATATAGATTACACAAAATAAAGAATCTGAGAGAATATAAAATGTAAGTCACCATCGGTGGCTTTTAAGTGACGTTATTCTTGATAAATATTTATGCAACAATGGCTTTTGATACATAAAGTAAACTTGTTGGCATTGTCGCCTGTTTTCCTTCGTATTATTTATATCGCATATTGTTAAATATCAAGTACATTTACACTAACTTTAACTATAACTATAACCATAACTGTTACTGTTACTGTGGGTCGATCTTGTTGCCCGGTCACCGTAATCGAAAGATGTTCGCTACGTCGGATATATTACTTTTGATATTATATTATCATTTGTATTTGGTATTACATAAACACATACATATGTATGCATATTATACAGATTATGGATAGACATAACCGGGTAATGGTAATAAACTTTGAGTAAGAATCTTAACTGGAGTTTACTCTTGAACTTACTCCAAGAACAACATACTATCTCCGAGTAATTTTAATTTGTATATATTAATACACATCTTGTGAGAGTTGTTTCACAGTCAATTTTATTAAACTTTACTGCCGTTGCATTTATTTATATGTTTTGTATAGATATATATATATATATATATATAACCTAACTGTTGTGATGACGGTAATATCACTTGTATGTTTTATTCAAAAATATAATCTTTTTTTTTTTCTGTTATTCTACCAGTTTCATGTTTAAATTATTAGTTATTTTCTTTTAGATTTTTCTTTTCTGATTAATGTTTTATATACTCATATTTTTCATTTCTAGTTTATATAAATTCAGTAGAAAATCCCTTGGATTTGTACAATCTAATTTAAGATTTTCAATCGATATTTTTTTCCTTATTTATTTTATCAACTTTAAAATTCTTTTGATATGTAAATTTTAAATTTCAATCTCAAAGTAAATTTATTGAGTTGGAAAATCTAATTTTTTAAAAATTAGTTTTGATTATTTAAAATTTTTTGTAGTTGTGATAATGTACAAAATAAGAAATTTTTTACTGAATTTTTTAAAATAGAAATAATACAATAAAAAATAATTTTTTTTTCTAAATAATTTTTCTCGATATTATATTGTTTAGAATATTTAGCGTATGCAAGTAAAAACAGTTTATTTTGATATAAAAATACTTTTTGGTCATAATAAAACTATAAATAGCTTTATTTGGTGAGCGCACAATAGACTGTAATTCACAAACTCGGTTTAATTATCGGGTAACCGAGAGAACAGTGTGATTGCTTGAACGCACGTGTATTGTGTGTATTTAAAGAGAAAAGAGCGAGCGAGAGAGAGAGAGAGGGGTAGTAGGATAGGTTTTAAATATTTGAGTTAAAAAAAAAAAAAAAAAAAAATAGAAAATAGAAACAGTTGAAAAAAATACAAAGGTAATGATAAAGATAAAGATAATGTAAAAGAAAAGAATGAGCGAAACTGCAGATGAAGTAGTCAAGATCAATTTTATTGTTTTCATCTCTATTCGCACAGTATAATACCGGAGTATAATAATTTATTTTGGACAAAAGAATTTTCACGGCGTAATTGACAAAGGATAAAAAAATTTTAGTAATTGAAATTTTTTATTAGCAACGACGATATAACGGACTGCGTAGACCATTTCTATTTTTATTCAAAGCTTTAATTTTAATATACGAGTTAACCTGGCTGGCAGTTACCTAGATATCAAAAACTCAAATTAAATAAATTAAAGATAATGAAAATTATAATTGTAATAATGAATAATAAAAGTAAAACACAAATAAAAAAAATTTTAATAATAATCTCACCAATAAAAAAGATTGAGATAGAGATTCAGGGGAATAGAAAGAATTTAGAGAGAAACTGGAAGTATATATTAATAGAATAAAAATACGAGCAGAGGGATCGCGTCTGTTTTTAAAATTTAATCCTACAATTACTTTATTTTGAACTTAATTTAATTTATCGTTCTTTATATATACACAATCTCTTTGAAAATATTTGAGATCTACGGTTTGAATAAACTACTATACGAGGGACCAGGCGCAAGCACTAAACCGTTTCAGCTCTACGCGCTACGATATATTTACACGGGAAAATAAAAATTTCTCAAACTAATGTAATACTTTAGTTTAATTAATAATACGAAAAATATAAATTAACTATAAGAAGAATAATTAATGAAAAATTTCAAAATAAAATAATTCAATTTTACGCAAATAAATATGTTAAATATATGGATTAAATATATAGTTAAATATTTATTGCAAAAATCATAATAAAAATAAGAAAATAATAGGAGTAAGTTTTAAGATATAAGTAATATAATAAATAAGTGAATTAACATGATTCTTCATCGTATCGCAAAGGATTATGGAGGTATTACGGGGGGGTAATAAGGATAAATTTAAATGTAGCGTATGAATAGGGCTTGGGTATAATAATAAACCTCTATACTGTAATTTAAATTGAGGACAATAGTGATATTCATATACTTTGTGATATCGATGTGGAATCGGTTATTATTATTATTATTATTATTAAACTAATTTCGCGGAATTATATAAGAACCCGGACTCGCCGCAGGATCATCTCCCTTCTGTTTGCCAAATTAACTATCACTAACTACTGCGATTTTATTAAATTGGAAAATGTACACGGGAATCTTAATATAATTATTATGTCTAATTTAAAATTTATAATTTTGTTATCAATTACGGATCCAATTAACGTGGGTACGTGCCACTGACCTATAGAACGTAGCATACAAACGCGTAATTTTTCAAACGATATAATTTTTCACTCGCCTGATTTAATGTTTCGATAATGACTAATGCTAATGAGCTTGCTGGCGTATGCGCGAATCGTACTTTTACTCCAGTTTTATTTTATTTTTCATTTTTTGTTAATGTGTGTGCGTGTATGTGGGGGTGTGGTTTTGGTGAGGATACTGGATTTAATTTGTGATTACGATTTTACGCAACGCATATTTTGAATAAATATTTTTATCATTACTGCAAATATTTAAACGACTAGCTCGAATATAGTAAAAATTTTTTTAATTAATATTTATAAAAAAATTGTGAATTTGTTTATTTTTAAATATGCAGTAGTAATAAAAATATTGCGCGCAAGTTTATAAAACTGAAATGACGAAATAAAATATATATTTATACATAAAAACAAACGATAAAATTAACAGTAAAAATAAAAAGGGAGAGTAAGTGATAATTCGTGTTGGGTATTTTGGTAAAATAACTTTTTTTTTTCTATCTTTTAGTTCGTTTTTTTTTTTTTCTACTATTTTTTATACCGGTCGACAGTGGTCGAGCGCGTACTCCTAAATTACCTAGAAAATAAATGGAGCGGAGCGTCAATTTATTCAGCCCCAGGATCTGTTATCTGTTAATTATTTAATTTAAAATAACTTTTTTATAAATATTATTCTCTTTGGTCTCTTTGATAACTGTGATTGATTTTTAAAAATATAAATTATAAATTAACTAGGTTTGGTGTAAGTACCTTTGTGAGAGGAACTGATAATGTTGACTTTGAGTGGTGATTATGAGTGACATGAGGATAGTTACCTGAGTCTGTAGCCGTGTTAGACCACGGATCCATAGAATTTGTCCTGCGCGCGGCTTTTTATCCGAGTCTGGGTCGAATTTCTCGTCTCCTAGATTGATAGCACCGATATCATCCGGCTGGCCGCGGCCCCATCTGTTTTTAAAAAACATTAAACCAGTTCTTCATAACTCGATCCGTTTTTTAATTATTTTTTAATAGACAATCTTTGATTTTTTTTCAGTTGTTTGTTTTTGCAATTTTGAATTTAATTTCTTTCTTTTTTTTTTTTTAATTAATATTACTTTATTATAAAGACGTTTCGGTAAGAAGTCGGATCCTCGTTGCTGAAATAACTTTTTTATTTTCCGTACGCCCTTCGCTCCCCTCACTTTAGCACATGTGTAGTAGTGTTTATCTTTTTAGTTATTTTCAGCTAATTAATTAACTATTATTTTGTTAGTTTTAATTAACAGCTTGAGTTTTAAGTGTAGAATTATTGTAAAAATTTTTTCGAGAAAAAAAGTTACACGACTTAGTGTGAAGTTATTTTAGTGTTAAAGTTTAATTTAATTCAAGATGTATATTCTTACTTTTAATTAAAATTTTAGCTCAGAGAGTAAAGATACAACAAAATTGATAAGGGCTTTTTTTTTTTTTATAGAAAATTTAATTTTCTGTAAAAAAAGATTTCTTATAATTTTTTTGTATTTTAAATATTTTACCGATAATTTTAATTTGAAATTTTTACAAAAATTAAATTATTCACACCAAATCATTTTTGCCCTAGATTTTTTTTACAGTGTTTGGTAGTATTTTTTGTTGAAAGTAAGCAAAAGTTGAGACGAGAAAGTAGAAACGAGAAATAGAAATTTAAAGAAATGTATTAAGATTAAGAGAAGAGAAGAAAATGAGTAATATATATTCAAATGTGTCATTTATTGAATTTTTCTATAAAAAATTTTGAATTTTAAATAATTTACATAAATACTTTTAAAAAAAATTATTATAAAAATTGTAATTACAGTTGACACATTTTAATATATAATTAATAGATATTTAAAGAGAAAGACAGACAAAAGCGATATATATATATATATATATATATATATATATATATATATATATATATATATTTGAATTTGAATGTTAGTGAAAGTGAATGAATGAGGGGACAGAAGGGTTTGCATAAATATTTAAAAAAATTAGTAAAATTTTTTTATGGTACATGAAACAAATGATAATCATGAGGGTAAATGATCGTTTACGTCGCCGAGTGAATGATTAAGTATACCAGTGTCAATAATATGTGTATATCATATCAATATAATTGTTAATAGTTATTAGTATCAGTAATATCAAATATTGACTTAGTCTTATGGATTAGTTACCGACACCACGGTATTATACATGCGTACTATACGGAAGTCTTAAATAATAAAATTAAACCTTTATTAATATTTTACTTGAAACTAGATTGTATTTTATTAACACAAGTACTCTCGAGTAAACCAGACTAATCACACTTGCATTAATTATTTATTTATCTTCATACCTCATAAATTTCACACGATTGTCACTCGCTACCGATAACGACCCGAGTAGAGGAAATTATTTAATTTTTTTTTTTTATCTATATTATTATTTATGAATGCTAAGTCGGATATTGGCTCTTGGATTAAGTACGAGATTGCTTTCCAAGATCAAAGTTGCAACTGGATAAAGTTATTGCTCCTTGCTTCGTCATTATTATTATTATTATTATTATTATTATTATTATTTTTTTTTCTCATATTATAAAAAGCGCATTTGTGTAGTTTTATTTGAAAATTAATAAAACTGATATTTAATTTAAAAATTTTTTTAAATTATTATTTGAGGTTCTTTTTGTGGATTTAATCAGGATTAAATAATTAATTACATTATTAATCAAAGGGAATAAATAGAAAAAATTAACAAACTAATTGAATAATTTTTTGTTATTTTTATTGATTTTATTATTCTTGATATTTTGCTAAATAATTTATTTGAAAAATATGAGGGGATTTTTTTTTGTGGGGATTGTAATTAAAAATAGAGGGAAAAAGAAGATAAATAAAGAGTAGTAAAGTAAAAAATAAGAAAATGATCGTGACAGTGTAATTAATAATAAATGATAGAAAATGAATCGAATTTAATATAATAAGGAAAAGGAAAAATAGAGGACGCGCAGGACAGAGAATGGAAGTATAAGCTGACTTTCGCCAAATCAATAAGTGAGATTCGGCGGATTGTGGATTTATCCAACACCGTGCGCGAGAGTATGTAAAATTATTTTATTTTTTTCGATTCTCCTATAGTCGGCAAGCACAACGACCGTATGACATTTAGTTTTATTTTGCAAACAATTCCAACGACCGTTGTCGATATTTTTTCAAAAATTTTTTTATTAGTATTAGTATTGTTTTTTATTACAAATAAAAAACCACAGACGGACATTATATCAGTAGATTATATACAAACAAGTACGTAGTTGATATCTGCAATTATTTTTATTTTATATTTTTTTCTTTATTATAATTTTAACGGCGTATTCATGCAACATTCAGTGTTAAAAAACGAACAGGCATAGGGAAGGGAAATTAATTGCAAGTCTTGACAAAAATTTTTTAAACAATATTTATATAATTAATTAAAATTTTTATCAAGACTTGATTAATTTTTATTAAAAACTTATGCTACTATTTCGTTTTAATGTCAATTATTATTATTTTGGTATTATTCAAAAGAAATTAAAGCGAAATAGTAGCATAGAAATTTGAAAGACAAAACAGAGAGTGACAGAGAAATAAAAGAGAGTATTTAAAAGGAAATGTGTAAAAATAATTTTAAAAAAAGTAAGAGAAGTAAAAGAGTAAAAAATAAAATAAAATAAAAAAAAAAGACAACCCTAAGTATTATAAATTATAACTAAACCCGTTTGGGTGTTATATTATTCGATTAGCGTGTGTTTGAGATAATTCTAGCATGCATAGGCTACTACCACGTACTAAAGGGGGAATACGAAAGCTATGAGTGGCTAATTATCGTAGCTAGACATTTACGAACAAGTAAATTAATAATTAAAAAAAAAAATAATAAATCAATACATTTAATCAATATAAATATATATATCCGACTACCCTACTTACTCAAAAAATATATATTTATATGTATGTTTGTATATATACATATATAAGTAAATATTATATGATCAAATATACTTTAATCAAAGTCTACTTTACTTGATTAATAAATTAAATTATTTATTCATAAAAAGTATATTGAATTATCTTTGTAATTATGTACACAGCGACGTATACGATTATTCATTGGAAATTATATGAGCGTCAGTATACCGTTAAATTAACATAAATCAACGGGTAAATCACTGAATCGTTCATGCAAGTTCCTCTCGAATAATCAATTGATTTTAAAGTATCGAAATGCATATACCGACAATTGATTATATTTATTATCATCAATTATTTTTTTATTGTTATTATTATTACTATTATTATTGAAATGCATTTTGAATAATTAAACTCATGATTAAAAGTCATTTCAAGTATTTACCATGACTGTTTTTTTTTTCTCAGTAATTTTTATGTTTTATTATTATCAATTATTGTTATTTTTATCGATAATTTTCATTGGGACAAACAACTAAGTATCATAATATGGAACAATAAAAATAACTTACGAGAGGATCTTAGGAATCTTCCTTGTAGGAACTGTTGTAACTACTTGGCCCCACACTAACGTACCAATTCCGAAGAATATACACCATAACCATTGTTCTAGATCTAGAGCTTTTGTGCTGAATGCCATCTTACCATACTGGATGATAACAACCTGAGATGCAAAAAATCAAAATTTATTTATTTATTTATTTATGACTAGCTGAGTTATCAAATTTATTTATCATTTTTTTGCTATTAATTATTATTTATCGAGTAGACATATTGACATTTTTAAACTCACAGTCTGTGTAAGAGTTTAATAAAAAAAATAAAATCCCTTTGGAAAATCATAAAAGAAAAATTAATTAATTTAAAGGTCAATTAATTAAAAAAAATTTTCCTCATAGATAATAAATATTAAATCAACAGTATTTATTATTTATACTTACTTGGGAGAGCATTGTCCCGATCCAAATAGAATAAAAGATGGGGTTGGTGAATATTCCCTGGAAGACATTGCGCTGACCGTGAATTTTTCTCGCGTTGAACTCGTTGAAGAGGGTCATCATTACGAATGTGTTAAATATTATAGTGAAGTGTTGAGTAGGTGTACTACTGTGTTTGTCTTCAGAATCTAATCCAGTAGGTATATCCAGCATTTTGTCACCTATCAATATAACGTTAATTATAAGTACAATAAATAATCAGAATAATATAATAATGTAAAATAATAAAAAAAGAACTAACCGGCAAATAGGAGCGTAAAAATAACAGTCAATTGATAAATCCCTTGACCAAGGATATTTTTCATCATTGTCCTGGAAATAAGTGGCTTCGTACGTCCATAAGGTTTACGAAGCAACAGATCCGGTGTAGGTAATTCTGTGGCTAATGCAAGTGACGCGAGTGTGTCCATAATTAAATTAACCCATAACATTTGTACAGCCTTGAGAGGCGAGTCTTGTACAGCACAAGCACCAATGAATGCAACAATAACAGCAACAATGTTAACTGTCAGTTGAAATTGCAAAAATTTAGCTATACTATCGTAAACATTCCTGCCCCACATTACGGCTTTAACAATAGAGGAAAAATTGTCATCTGTTAATATAATATCGGAAGCTTCTTTAGCAACATCTGTACCAGCGATACCCATCGCAAAACCAACGTCGGCTTTTTTCAACGCCGGACCGTCGTTGGTACCATCACCGGTGACAGCAACAACTTCGCGTGAGGCTGTACAAGTACTGTCGATAATACCTTTTACCAGGGTGTACTTATCGGTGGGTGACGAACGTGCCAGTACCCTTAATTTTGGCCAAACTTTATCCAGTAAGTGCTGTTGAACTTCACCATTACTGTCTCTTATTCGCCTGTTGAACTCTTTACCCTCAAGTATAAGAAAATCGTCACTCGCTTTAATAATACCACATTTGAGTGCTATTGATCGAGCGGTATTTATATTGTCACCAGTAACCATTCGTACAGTTATACCAGCTTTTTGACATTTTCTTATTGCCTCTGGTACTTCTGGTCTCACGGGATCTTCGATACCAACGATACACAGACACGTTAAATTATTTACAATATTTTCTTCGTCCTCCCAGTTGGGTTCACCTTCGCAGTGTACTTGATTTATTTCAGCTTTACCGGGTACAAAATCTCGGTATGCCACTGAAATAGTACGTAATCCGTCGCACGCCATCGGTTCGATAACATTTTTAACCAAACGATCTTGCATTTCACGGGTGAATTTTTCCAAATGTCCATCGCGACCGTAAATAAAGGCACATCTAGAATAAGAAAAAAAATGCAACAATTAAATATAAATATCATCGTCAAATTTAAATAATTAAAAAAAAAAATTACTTCTTCATGATGATCTCGGAAGCACCCTTGGTGAAGAGCCTGTAACCACCGCCTGATTTTGGAACAACAGTAGACATACTTTTTCTTACACTGTTAAATGTGTATACACGCGTAAATGTTTCCTCCGGCTGGTCATCCCGTACCGTTTGATAATTCTGGCCCAACGCCAGTACAAATCCAAGTAAGGCACATTCGGTTTTGTTGCCGACCTGCATCGCTAGTTCGGTAGGATCTGCCGCGGGCATTATTCTGGACGTATAAGCCGAATTAAGAGATATTGACTGGACAATAAGATTTCCAACGTGACTCGGTATGTCAGAAAACGGCGGTATTGTTTTGCTGAGCTTCTCGCATATGTAAGACTGGACAACAGTCATACGATTCGTCGTCAAAGTACCTGTTTTGTCGGAACAAATCGCCGTTGCATTACCCATTGTTTCACATGCATCCAGATGCCGTACCAAGTTGTTGTCCTTCATCATTTTCTAAATAAAACCCATCAAACATTTTGTTAAGAAAGAACTTTATTTAATCCAATGCTATTTTATTATTAAAAATTACAATCAATGTCTAAGTAGAGCTTAAACTTTATTTTGTACTCGTCTAATAGAAAGCTTCATTGCTTTTAAATAAATAATTTATTGGTTAAGTGTCTTTTCTTGTAATTTAACTTTCTTAATAGATTTAATTTGGTAAAAAAAGAAGAAAAAAAATAGCAAGTTTGCACAATTACTGTACTATAGTTTCAGAGGTATAAGCTATTTAAATTTGCTGATAAATATATAATACGTTGATAAGGTGGTATGTGGAAAACTTGAGCTTGATTACTGATAACATTGATTTTTAATAACAAAATAATATTTTTTACTGGCTCGCATGCAATTTATAGGGAGAATATATATAAAAATAATAAAAATGATAATAACCTTGACCGAGTAGGCAAGAGACAACGTAACGGCAAGTGGAAGACCTTCCGGTACAGCAACCACTAGCACGGTAACACCAATAATCAAGTGTTTTATAAGATTATTGATGTATGAGCTCTCCCATTGGGCTTTTTGAATGTAAAATTTCTTAACACAAAATTGTACAATTAGAATGAGAACCGTAAGTACGGCAATTGTTGACCCAGCGTAACCAATTTGAATGGCAAGTTTTGTCAGCTTGGCTTGCAGAACACTTTTTTCTTTTTTTCCTTCACCATGGCCGCCTCCACCGCCACTTGACGCGGCAGCATGATTTTCTCCGTCTTGTTTAACACTTCCACCGCTTCCTGGATGACTATTACCCGTGATTTCTCCAGCTTCATCTCCTATTTTTTAATATTTTTCATTTTTTAATTTAAATAAAAAACAAATCCATTGTTAGTTAATTTTTTTTTAGTCTTTGCTTCTTAAAAGTAATAGTTGTAATAGAAATAGTAATAATAATAATAATTAAAAGTATAAATAATTAAAAAAGGGCTGGGTTTTTTTTTGTTGTTTCAAAGTTTCACGGTTTTCATTTAGTTTCAGGCCGCGTGTCATTCACATTTTACTGTAAAAGCCCTGGCTTGGTCTTATAACTGTCAAGTAGGATAACTTAACTATAGACTACTCTTGAACTAGAGGTAAATAAAAAATAATTATAATAATAATAGCAATAGTTGTAATAAAAAAGGAAACCTTGAAACTTGGAACACATTCGACGTCATTAGTATTCGTTAGTTATAAGACAAGTTTAAAAATAAATAACACGGTTTGGGGCTCGATTGATAATTTAAAATAAATTTTAAGTCAAGTATATAATAAAAATTAAAAAAATGCATCATTAACTATAATACTAGAAAGAAAAAAATAAATTAACCAACGAACAGTGTTAAGTATAAAAATATTTAAGTGGTAACTATTTATATAAATATAATTTTGTATATATTTATATTTGTAAACTGCATCATCTATATAGCAAACAGGAAGTCAATCATAAAATGCAGGGGGAGGAAAAATATCTCTAACATTTATAATGTATTTATTTTTTTTTTTTTGCGGATATATCAAGTTAAGTGCAAATAAAAAATCACCACAAATGGTACACACACCCAGTGATATTTATACATATTGATTGATATATGATGTAAAATAGTAATCTAATTTGTGAATAAAAGGAAGTAGTATAAACTAACATATAAATGAAGTAATGAATAAAATGATTTGTTTCGTACGTAATAAAAGGGGTGTGAATGAGTCCAATGTGGTATGTAGAGTTTTGTTCATAAAACTTTGTTTTTTTTTTTAAATTGATTTTTTTTTTTAATTAATAAATTTAGTTTATATTTACATTTAACTAGATACGGTAGATTTATCTATAATTAAAAATAGTTGGCCAATATACACGTGAGTAAATTTAAGAGTTTACTTTAGAAAATTTATTGACTTTATAAAAAAAAATAGAATGTAATTATTAATCACCTGGGAGAGACTTCTTCTTCCGCTGCTTTTTAGCTTCTAGACAACAAAATCACATGCAAAAACAAAAAATTCATTAGCAACGTTTTGGTCAGCTTAAAAACATTGACTATCAGCATATTGTTTTATTTATTTTTTTTTTTTTTGCCAATTTATATGTTAATATTTATTCATTTAAATATTTAAATAGATTAGTTTGGTCTTGAATTAGTCGTAATAGCTGTTGTGATAGTTTAAATTTCTTTTCTGAGCAGAGGAGCAACAATGAACAGATGGCGAGGCTGATGGACAGCTTGAGAATGACTATTATTAGCGTTTTAAGTGAATCAGCTTATGATAATAATAAAAATAACTAACTTTTTTTAAAAAAATAATATATAAATAAAATGGACAAAAAACAAGTGATAAATGGTATAGAAAGTATATAAATAAATAAATGATGAATTGATAATATAATTCTGAAACTGTCCGGTCGGAAATGAAAAGTTAAAGCAATTTATCACAGTGATGTTGATAATATTATTATAGAATATAGATTATATAGGTGTATTATATTATATATACTAATCAGTATTGATTTTGTCATACTATAAATTTAAATTTAAATCGAAATAAATATACCGTTATTTTTATTTTATTGTTTTTTATTTATATTTATTGCGAATTCTCACGATACTAGATATTTATCCTAGTAATTTATTGAATTTTTGCTTGAATGGTTATTTTTTATTCGAGTTTATGTGAATAAATATTGTGTAAGTTGCTTCTGTAAACGTGATTTAACAGTAACAATGTAATGAAAGTTAACTATAAAGGTATAATATGTGTAATGAAAACAATGAATTATTTTAGATAAAAATAAATGAAATTATTTTAAATAAAATGACACTAATGTTCGCTAAAACAGATTTAAATAATTTATATTCAAGCATTTTCCTGTCATGGTTAATTAATAATTGATAATTAATAATTAAACTCGTAGACTCGAACAGACCAAGTCAAGGATAACTCAGGCACAAAAAAAAAAAAAACGTAAAATATTAAATTCACTAAAAGAATATTTAATGCAGTATAGCATGCTTGTAAAATCTGGTTATTATCATCAACCTAAATTCAATATCGCGAGCTTGTTATTATTATTAATAATAATAAAGTATAATGCTATTATTAATTATTAGTTTTATGTTCAATAATATAATAATAATAAAAGTATAAAATCCATGCGTCCATTGGTTGTTCCATACGTCAGATCTCTGCAGTTTTCATGCCGTAATAAAAATCTAATGTCCGCTACTTCTTTGCACCATTAATTATTTAAAAAATAAAATTAAAGAAAGTAATAACATCTAAGCATAAAAGTAATTTAAAAATCCTAGTGACTGGAGATAAGAGTAAATAAATAGTGGTAAAAAAAGTTTATTAGAAGTAGCGGGCACAGAGACGAGCAAACCTGGTTTATATATTTAATAATAATAGAGGCCAGCCTTTGTACTTGTTGTACAAAAGCAAGTGTCATACCTTTTTTCATTTTCTTAATTTCCTGCTCCTGTTGATCAACAGCAGCACCCAGCAACGTGAAGATAATACCGGCTTGTGAGTTAACACCCACAGCTGTCACGAGCATCTTTCCTGAGCCCTCCATCACATGAGTACCTGATAGCACCATCGGGTCAAAGGCTTCGCCTTTTTTAACATGATCCGATTCTCCAGTCAAACTTGACTCGTCGACTTTCAGATCGTTACTTTGGATTAGAATACCATCCGCAGGTAGCAAATCACCGTATTTTATCTGAATTTTTATTTTAAAAAAAATAATTATCATCATTAATCATTATCAATTACAATTCGGCTGCCCAATTTTAAAACTCAGTAACTGCAAAATTTTTATACCTGATTTTTTTCAGTATTGTTACATTTCTTATAACTTTTAGACCTCAATTTCAAGTAATTTTTCGTAAAAATATTTATATTGAAGCATTTTCTATCCTTAAATCAAAATTTTTATCAATTTGGCGCGCTAATCTTTTTTTTGATAAGAAAAATTTTTTAAAATCTTAAAATTGTCAGTTACTGTGTTTTGAAATTGGGCAGCCAAATTAATAATAAAGATTAAAAATATTCGTTGTTTAAAATACCTGACAAATATCGCCCACGACGATATCAGACACGGAAATTTGCTTGACTTCATTTTGTCTAATAACAGCAAATTTATGTTCACCCTCTATCCTATTTTGTAAGCCCCGAAATTGCCTTTCTTTCGAGTAATCATTAAATGCTGTAACTAACACAACTACTATAACGGAGATTAAAATGGCAAGACCCTCAATCCAACCGTATTTAGCCTCATCTTCATCTAATTTAACATCATCTGTTGAATAATGAATTATTTATAAAAACATCCAATAAAGTATACCTTTTTTTTTATTTTTCAAATATTAAGGTTGCAAATTTTTTGATTTCAAAATTACTTTTTTTATAAATGTTTTTTTATTTAGATAATAAAACATTTGTATTTTCTTGATAAATAGATTGATGAAGTTAAATATTAAATATTTAACATGTAAACTTAAAAAAAAATGTATTCAACACAAAATAAACTTCCTTAATTAATCAATAAAATAAAGACAAAAAAGAAACTTTGCAACCTTAATTTAGGCAACAAAAAAATCTTAAAATATCCATACCATCTTCTGCCTTGGGGGTTGGGTGATAAAAGCTAAGACCTAACGAAACCAATGCAGCTATTTCAAGGATTATCAAAGTGACATCTTGAAGAGCTTCCCACACTAACGTGAGAAATGTTTTAGGTGGTTTTGGAGGTATTGAGTTGGAACCAAATGTGTCTCGCCTGTGTTGCATGTCCGCCGATGATCCACTGAGACCTGGAGCAAACATAAATATTTATTATCAACAACAATTTACAATCTACACTCTCGATAAATCTATCTTTAACAGACAAAAGTAAATAACAAAACTGAATCGTTTATTTGAGAAACCCTATAAGTCATATTTATTTCGAAATCGGGTTTATTGCATTTTTCGATTTTTTGAATTTACCCTCACTTATACCAGCACCAAAAAATATTAAATCCGTGTTCAAGACCTAACCAATCGGTCGATATAAATCTCGTTTAGTTGAGAAACCCCATAAGTCAGTGACTTATGGGGTTTTTCGAAAAAAACATTCAATTTCAAAATTCCAAAAATAAATTTCTTTCTTTGTTTTTTTTTTTTTTTTTTTTTCTTTTCAAAAAAACTTCTTTCAAGTAGAAAAATTTAGTTCAATGCAAAATACTTAGATTTTAATAATTTTCACAAATGTTTTTTGCTTCTCCTGAAAAATTTAATATTTTTGACTTATGGGGTTTCTCAAATAAATGATTCAACTATATAATAAATATTTAAACTCACCATCGCTCGGCGAGGTATATAACTTTTTGCATATTTCCTGGACACCACCAAGAGCGTTTATTTTATTAACACCCTCGCGGCCTCGGTGCTCCATGAGCTCTCTAAGCTGTTTGAGAGAGACTCCATATTGGGCCGGTCTGCCGTCTATCGTCGCCATCCTTGAGCCTTTTACACACCAGGTGCTACCTGCTGCCGCAAACGCTGATGATTGTGATGATTACTTTTTAGTAATCGTTGGCAATTAATGCCAACTCTTTTGTCGTTCTCTAAAGCCAACGACCCAGGCTATTTTCTCTGTACTTCCTTGAGCTCCGAGAAGTCGGAGTTCCACTAGCTGAAAAAAAAATAACCAATAATTAATTTTAATTGTTTTTCTTTAAATAAAATAAACAAACTCACTATTTTATATTTATTAATAAAAAATTAAAGACTTATATTATTAATAATAATAATAATAATAATAATAATAAAGTGAAAAATATTTTAAAAACAGTACAAAGTACAAAAAACCGGCGACGTAGCGACCTATTGATATTGATAGGTTATGTTCACCGTAAAGTAAGTATATATATATATATATATATAGCCTTAGCCTAAAAGTCGGTATATATGGCAATAATAACCGTACTTTTATTTTATAAATTAGTCACCAGTACACGCAATTATTCATAATAATAAATAGCTACGCTATCACTTGTTTTAAAACGTTCAATGACCGCTCTAAATACAACCACTTGCAGAATAATTACTTCTCATTACAACATTTCATTAAATAGAAATAAAATAATAATTCAAACTTATTATTTGTACAACCGGTACGCGTTCAATTTCATCACTTAATTTAACATAAAATACTTGTAGACATTTTTTACCTCAACTTAACCCGGTGACGCTTACTATACACAGTATGTATTTAATTGTTAAAATATATTTTTGTGTTTGCATACATGTATATGGTTAAAATAACGGGACGAGTGACGTATCAGGGTGTAAATTATTGTATGTTGTGGCGGCATTCAGTTCCGCATGGTTTCACCGGTTACTCCAATCAGAAGCTCCTTTACTAGCATACTACCAACTACCATACCATGTATAATTCACACATAGGTATATATAATATATCTACTTAGATCATGTGTATATTGTTAAATAACTATATTTTGTATCTTTATTATACATACTGTATGTCAATATAGTTAACTATTTATTGGTGTAATGTAATCATACAAGTAGTTGTTATCATTTTAAATTATCTGTATCTGAGTTCACATGTGATGTGACTCATAATCATACTTTGTTCCTTTATACACACAATATAATTTTAGTGTATGGATATTTTTTTTTCATTTATAAAGTGCGGCGGATGTTTGGCAATTTTTTTTTTTTTTTTCTAAAAAATTTAAGATTAAATGACAAAAATGATACTGAAATTGGCAAACATCTCACTATTTTTTTGCACTCTTGTTACAAATTAATTATAAAAAAAAAATTTTATATTTCTAGATATGGAATTTTTTTTATTAACAAAAATAAATTGAAATAATGTAATAAATTAACTTAAAATTTTTTTTTAAATCATTGTAGACAATTTTTTGTGCAATCATTAAATTTGCATCATGTTTATCAAAAAATTAAAAAAAACACCTGTCTGCTTATTTAATATTTGTATTTCTTAAATATTTAATGAGTTATTGTAGCGATTAGACAATTTTTAATTAAATATTCAGAAAAATGCAAACAGAAATTTTTTAATTCTCAATTTTAAAATTATAAAACTAATTTTGTAACAAAATCTTTCACTGTTACGGGATTAATTTAAAATATTGTATAACAATGTCCTTAGAGTAATTGTTGTGTGAATTTTTTAAGTCAATATTTGTAAAATTTAAGTTAATTGTTCGTGAACTAAATTTATTTATTAGACACGCTTAATTGAATGTAAACTGAGTACTATATGTAAAAATAATAATGTTAGATAAAAATTTTTATATTGGTTAATTTACAAATTTTAATTAGTGTAATAAATTTAAAAAAAAAAAAAAAAAAAAAAAAAAAATGCAATCAAGAAATTAATCTGAAAATTTTCAATTTCAAATAATTTATAAGAAAAATATTTAAAAAAATTTTTACATGATTGTTGAAAATTTTTCATATAAAAATTTTTAATTATTTGTTATTATATAAAGTATTTCAAGTATTCTTATTATATAAAGTATTCAATGATAAAAGTTTTATAAATACCGATAAATAAACACAACTAAAAACTATTTATACTCCCATCCATATATAGATATATTTATAGACTAATGATGTATTATGTATGTAAATATATGAACTATTGCTCACAATCACAATAAACACACTGTGTGTGTCAAATAAATTAAGTTAATGTGATGTATGACGATTACAATTTGAATCCTGTAATGTTACTCCCTCTGGCTGACCAAATAACAACTAGTGAAAAAATTCTTGAGTATCGGTACAAGATCAAAAAGAAAAAAATTAGTACCTTCAATATAATTTTAAAAACATAATATCAACTCATTCTTATTCATTAATGCTCCGATATTGTTAAACAACGATTACAAATGGACCGTGAATAATTAATTTATTAATAAAGCTTTAAAAAATAAAAACATGACTAATTGCCATGTAACTCGTGCGTCACTCAAGGTAATTTTTTTTCCCTGTTATCTAATTCATGTATAATGTAATGTTTGTGTTTGTAAATTTATGTAAATAAGTATAAATATATATATAAAAATATACACACTTGTTATTAAAAATTTATAAAGCAAGGAAGAATGTATAGACTACTGTAGTGTTGCGTTAGACGGAACTATGGCTAGAAAATGTTTTATAACTATTCTAATACTATATTTTTTTTTTTTTATTGTTTGTGACTTTCATTCATAATTTTGTTGCACTTTATTAAACATTGATTAGTTGTAGATGCACTTGCACGTAATTGTACAGTGTATTGACATTTTTAATTCCAGGAAATATTATTATAAGTATATTTCTTCTTTATATTAAAACTTTTATGACTTGCAACTATATAAAACTATTTAAAATAAATATAATATCTGGAATCACGAAAACCACAACACAGCTTGAGATATCGCACCAATTAAATATAATTCGTCTTTAACACGAAACTTCTGAATTTTTACATGACACGATATAACATTACCTCCTCGTTTCATTTTATGTTTTAATGTCTTCTGTACACACTAAAATAAAACAATTATTTATGCATGACTTTGAATTACTGAGAACACTTAGTAGATTACTTATATTTAATAAGCTAGTATTCAAACGGAGGCAACTTAAACTAAACTATTAATTAATAAATGAAAGCTTAAAAATGAAAAAACTGAGCAAAGGCTGTTTAAAAAAAAAATCAATGCTCGAGGAATTATATAAAATTTTATCGAGCTGGGTGGGATCCACGCCGATACTGATAGCGATACTGGCACGATTGGGTGATATGAAGATATTAGATCAAGAAAACGAACTAATGTGCGTGATACGGTTGATGACGCGAACGGAGCGGCTAGTTAAAAATCTTAAGTTAAAAAAATCTTGATTTGATGCTCGGTATCGAATCTCGAATCATCACGCATCCAGCTCACTAACTAATAATATAATACAATGTTATGTATGAGTTTGTTGATGCATATCGATATATATGTACAAGTTCTTATTAATCTTTATATCTATAGATATCTCCAGCATTTATATAATTTATAGATACATATATATATATATATATATATATATATATATATATATATATATATAGACGCATATATATTGATTTAATATTAAATGGGTTATTTTATCCATTTGACCGACATAGTAGAGTATTTGTGTTACGATAAGCTCCCCTCTGTGTAGTTTACTAATGTGCCACGTCTTAGAATATAAGACTGTTTCAGGTGCTCTTATCGACCGGTTATCTCACCACTATAACGAGTCAATCGACATACTCAGTTCATTAATAACTTGATAAACGCTCGCTTTTATTATTTTTTTTTATTTCAATATTCTAATTTATTCAAATCTTTTAATGATAATAGTTATTGTCATTCGGATTGATAAAAAAAACTTTGATATTATTAGTTGGGAGATATATTCGAATTATAATTAAATATGCTGTTTTGTAATTGATTATCGCTCTATTTTTTGTGATTAGAATAGGAATCTTTACTTTGGTTTTGATAGGTTGAAGAGTGATAAGTTTGAATAGTTTAAAGGAAATTAGAATTTTTATTTGTTAGTAAAATGTTTAAATTGTTGGTTCAGGAATTTTTCGACTTGTAAAATACGAATTATTTTTTATATAGGATAAAATATTCTGGTCGAGTATACTGATAAAAAAATTAACTTGGTTAAAGTGAAAAATCTTATACTAAGAAAATCATTTTTTAAAGGTTTGTCATTAAAATTTATTTGAATTAATAAAAAGTTTTTTAAATCAACTTGTTGGCTCAAGATTTTTTCTCGTAAATTAAGTTAATTTTTTTAAGTGTGGAAAAAAAACTTGGAAATTTTTTTTCAATTTATTTTTTGAATTTTTTAGGTGAAAATTTAATAAAAAAAAATTTTCTTGGTAAAAAATGTCAGTGTTAATTTACAATTTTTATAAATTTATTTATTCAATTAATTCGTGTCAGAGAATCATCAACAAAAAATGTTATTTACAACCAAATTTCCAAGGATATGAATGTAAATCAAAATGAAGACAAAAAACCCGAAAATTTTCATTAAATAACATAAATAATAAATACAAATGTCTAGAAAGGTAAAATTCGAAAGGGAATCACTTAAAGTAGCGAGTATTAAATGAGCACAATTAGACTTCCGGACGTAGGATTTCATAGTAACGAGACTAAGCACGCAAAACACCTAGAGTTATTTTACGGACAGACGTGGGCAGACGCAGCACGTACTCTCCACCACAACTAAACACTCTTATCTATTGAGTCGTTACAGCTAACAACCACCAGCGAACAGCGAACTGCGAGTACGGGTTCACTCTACCGCAATTACAATCACGTCTAGTCACCGAGACAACAGATTTAATGTAATGTATAACGTAATACTTGAATTGTATCAATACAATTTGTTACAGCCAAATCAGATTTACATTCC